AGCTGGGCGTTTCTTTATTCACACACCACTCTCCCCCCCCCATATATACCCTGTGATGTATCCCACGAGCAGTGCAGTGCCGCGGGGGCGTTAGCGCCTCCCCCCTTCCTCCCCCTCTAGCTATTGTGAATGGAAGAGCCCTTATAGATGAAAAAAAAACAAAAAACTGCACTAATACAATCATGCCAGCCAACCTTGTGAGTCTCTTTTTTTGTAAGCATTGCGGTAGATTCGCCACCACTATTTCAAACCAGTGGGATGGAAAAAAAACACTTGTAGAGCACAGATTCTTAAAAAAAAATTGTAAAAAAAACATAAACACTCACTATTAAACACATCCCTCCCCATTCCCTCCCCCAACCCCCCCCAGTGCCCAACTGAATTCAAAGGGAAGTCTTAAAAAAATATAGACAATCTGAGGAGGCCTTTATGCTTTTAATCATTTTATACATATATATAAATATATAAATCAGCCCACACGCATTCAGTTTAAAAAAAAAAAAAAATAGAATCCAAAACCACCCATCCAACCTCACAAAATAACTGGACTGCCTGGCCATGTTCTTCACTGCAGGGAAACGAAACATAGCTGGCCAAGCGACCGGCGCCCATGACAACTAGCTCCGCTGACGACGGCTAAGGTGATTTCTTTTCTAATCTATGGAAGTGCCTCTGTATTCCCATTATGCAATTTGTCAAACATGAATTCAGGTTCTTTTTTCTCACATATAAGCTATAGTGAATGGTGAATAAAAAAGAAAAAAAAAAAATCTATGTCAGGAGGGGGTTTAAAACGAAAAAAAAAACAAACAAAAAAAAAAAACGGTGACAGCTCACTAGATAATCGCAAGCATCTTTATATATAATACACATATATATTTATAGATATATACTTCTTTTTTTTTTATTTGCAAGATAAGCTCTGTGGCAGTCTAGTTATTTTTTGAAGCATGGCATACATCGCACAGTCATAGGATGCATCTCGAAAAAAACTGATTTGAGCTAAAGTACCAGTCTCTAAATGAAAAAAAAGAAAAACCCCAACACTCGCATTAAAAGGACGTAAAGGAAATCCATAGATACATAGACAACAAGTGATGATAGTTGAGGATTTACACAAAAAAAACAAAAAACGAGCAGATTAGGTTTTGTTGTTTTCTTTCTTGTTTTCTTGATGGGAAGTATTGTTCTTGAAACTAAATGATGTATGTTGATTGAGCCATGTGCAATGCCTTGGTAGAGGAATTGTGTTTGTTTGTTAGCGATTGTTTTGAGGGCGATAAAGAGGGGGAATGAAAAAAAAAAAACAAAAACAAACCCCTCTTTATTTTATTTTTCTTTTTTGTTTTCAAGTCCACGTGCTCCGGGACTCTAAATACGAGGGCGGCGAGAAAAAAAAAAAAAAAGAAAAGACAAAAAAAACTAATAATCCCAGTCTTTGTAAGTAAGTTTTTGGGGGAAATTGTTTTTAATTTCCTGCTTTTGTTTTATTTTTTTTTTCCTTTTATCACTTTTTTAAGAAATTTTTTCAAAAATGTGGGAGGGCTGAAGGAACAATTTTGCAACTCATAAAAGTATATATCACTATGAAAACTGGTGCTTTCGTAAAAGAATAAAGTACATTCAATCTCTATTATACATAAATAGTAATAAACGAGAAAAAAAAATTAAGTGTTATCATAAGAAGCAAATTTTTAGGAAAGAAAAAAAAAACATGCATTATTCTATTTCTCTCTTTTTTTTTTTTTTTTTTTTTTGTATTTACCGAGGAGGTGGGGGAGGGGTTCGTTGTATGAAAAAGGTTTGATGTGACAAAAGGCATCCCCCTCCTCCCCTCTTCTGCCTCCCCCCCTTCCTCCTCCTCCTCCTCCTCCTCTTCTTCTTCTTCCCCCCTCCCACGAAATTTTTTTAAAAAATTTTCGAAATCAAATTTTCTGGATCAGGTGGGACAAAGACAAGATCTTCCCCGAGTTTTGGGAGATGCACAAGTACGGATTTGGAAAATGATGTCTGGTGGGATTTTTTTGGTTTTTTTTAATCCAAATCAAAAAAAAAACAAAAAAATCCACTTGGTTCATTGAGAGGGAACTTTTCGGCCTCTGTCCCGGTCAGAGGGGTGCTGTCATCGATTCAACCCCAACCATTTACTTCCCCCCTTTCATCCTCCTCCCAACCCTTCCCCACCCCTCTCCATCCATCTACCCGCTGTAAATGATTATAAATATTTGTTTGGTGATGTAGTGTTATAGACTCAGAGCATCTTTAAAGGTTGTCCCTAAAAAGTGCCTTTTGTTCACAGACTCCATCTTGTAATCCTGAGTGCCCATCTCTCGAAAACGAAAAAAAAAAAAAAAAAAGGTCCCCTCCTTCATTGCTTCTATATCTTTCTCTTCCTTCTTCTTCTTCTTCTTCTTCGAAAGCTTTTTAAAAGCAGTATACATAGTACTAAAGGAAAATTGGTGTGATTTAGTTCCTCTTTTTATTGTTGAATAATTAAGAAAAGCTGAAAAAAAAAACCACAAAAAAAAAAAAAAGGAATATTTTCTGTCTTGCTTCTCTTCCTCTGTATCTTGTCGTCTGTCTATCTTGGACACTGGAGTAGTCTGTAGCCGCGTAAAAAACCTTCTCCTCCCATCCTTCCTCCCCCATCCTCCCCCGT